TTTAGATCGCGATATTTTAATACCATTAACATTAATTTCAACGCGCGATACCTGACAAAAATTTTTCTCGCCGGAATGATGAAATACATTTGTGTTCCGTGAACAAGAAATTCAACGAACGGCGATATCGCCTCGTTATTTTCTAATTGACGAATCCAAAAGCAAGTAAACACATACTCTGGCTTATTACGCAAACTTGCAACATGACAGTGCATCAAGATTTTCGCAGAATCGATCTCACTCTTTGTAACATCGTAATAATATTTCTTTCCGAGAATAATAGGGAAATATTGTGTATCTCAATAGGAAACATCATAAAAAAAGGAATGTCGATTCTGAAAGAAATTTCACGGATATGTTACAAATTAATCGTTTAAATCGAACAACATTTTTTTTTTTTTCTTCTAAAATTTTGTTCTCGTGTACAACACTCGCCTACTGCTTAAAAAACAATAAATAATTTTCTTCTCCATTTTCAACGATTCTTAAAAATAAGAACATTTTGAACTTGATTTACGTTCACGCATTCGCACATGCACATACACACACATACACACACGCACGTGCACGCGCGCGCATATATACATACGTTAAATTCGTCCATCGTCTACAAAATTCGAAACATCAATTCCAATAACCACCAACATTAATATCATTTAACTCTTTAGGTGATTGTTTGCTACACCTAATTGCAAATAAATCCACCGTGTCGGTGCAAACACAGTGGTTGGCCATTGATTGTACAAATTTGCTAGGTAAAAAGTGTCCGTCTCTTTGATAACGTGTATCTCTTCTCTCGTGTATAGTATATCATCAACGTAGCTTATCGTTTGCTATCAATAGACTCGCATCAACGACCGCCCACATTAACTGATCTACGCATCAATGATTAAATTTTTTCGATGAGTCCCTCTCTTCCCAACTTCCTCATTCCCATTTACAGTTCCAATCCAATGCAAATTTTTCTCGTTCCTCGTTTTCTCGTAACCATCCACAAGGATGATTCTTCTAAAGTTTTTCAAAAATTATCTTAATATTTTGTTCTCTAAATATTTTTTCTATTAATCACTTCCACACTTTTCTTGAAATACTTGGAAAAAAGAGAGAAACAAGAAAGAAAAACAAATTATATGTAAAAAGATGATATCAAATAGAAATATTACCTATTTTATCCATATTAAAATGAACGTCAATTTCACAAACTTATTTATTTATTCGATCAAATTATGCGCTGTAAACGGTAAATTAACTTTCGTCAATATTTAATATTTGCTCTGTCAAATATTTCTGTCTTTTACCATTAAACTCATTACTTAGGAACATCATCAAATTCGATGAAAGAAAATATTAGCCATCACCTCTTAACATTAACACTATGGCAATACTCCTTTAAGTCTCCGTAACTTTTATATATATATATATGTAAAGCCATGATCAACTTTCTTTTCTTTCCATAAAGGGGATCGAATTTTTCATTTGAGATTAAATCGGTTTTTCTTGCGATTATCGTAAGAAGACCGCGAATTTTCTTTTTCGTTAACGTTGCTCTTTCGTGATTTCTTTCGTTGGAAGTATAAAAATATAATTTCAGGATATGTCGATACATTGCGGCTGAATATCGAGCACGTCCAACTTCCTCTCCATTATTATTACGGAACCATTGTTCAAGGGCCAATCTCAAAATTTCAAAATATATTGAATCCTTAAAAGAATAACAGAATCCTTTTGATCCAAACTTGGAAGATCACCAAGTGGTCTCGAAAGGATTTCGAACACGTTGAGAGATCGGTGTATATCGATGTATACAAATTATGCGGGAGGAGGAGGAAAAGAAACAAAATGATAATAAATTAGAAACGGTGAGAAATGACAAACACATTCGATGGAAACTTAAGATGACGAGGTGAGAAGGGGCCTTCTTTGAGCGGTCTCCTTGCAATCCTGAGGGACGTCCGGTTTTCGAATCGTTTTCGATTTCCGCCTTAATTGGTTGCACTTTTCTGCCTCTGTTTCCTCCTCGATCGTCTCGAAATTATCCTCTTCCATGCTCTTGTCCGCCATTTCCTTCGACTCGATCTCGTCGACGCTGCTCCAACTGTTGTCGCTTTCGCTATGCTCCCTCTCTTTCTTCCCACCGTTCATCTTTTCCTTCTCTTTCTCCCGACAGCCTCCGTTTTCCTGCGCACATCATTCGTTACGGTGAACATTAAGCAATAAGCGGTTAATTTTGTAGAAACCAACGCGTGTGAAATTTCAGTATCGTTATCAAGGTGGAAAATTACATCAATGATTGCGTTACTTTACATTTATGTGACATATACATGAATAATTTGAAATGTTTACTTTACGTGTGAGTAATTTGAAAAAAAGTTTAGTTATTAAAATGAATAAAAAAAATGTTCGATTGATATAAATTAAAAAAAAAAAAAAAAAAAA